TGTTTTTTCTACTGACTCTGAAATTTCGAGATATAGAAAACGTTCGTCTTCAGATTTATCTATTTTATGTACAGCGCAAGGATATCCTGTCCCAAATTTCAGGTGAGAATATTCCACAATGCTTTTATTAATTTATATTTTTCGCGATTACAATTTAAGTAAATACATTTTTGAGATTAGTAGCCTTTTTTTATTTACAAATCGCTCTATAACTTAGAGCCCGTTGGTACTAAATCTCCTGCCCTGGCATCTGATTTTAAAGGAACTATACTAATTCGACCATCAAATATGAACATCGTTTTATTGTGTCAATCTCAAGGATATCCGGTACCAGAATTTAGGTGAGAATAATAAAGAAATTAGAAAGTGAATTAAATTGTCGCATGGGGCTAATCGCTGACATTTAGGTTTTTCGTAAAAAATTGTATACATTCAAAACTTTACGCTNGAAAAATTTTATACATTCAAAACTTTACGCTAAATCTTACAGAGCCCATTGGATATAAAGCACCTACATTATCATCAGATTTCTCTAGTACAGGTTTAAAAAAACGTGCATTTTCACCAATTGTATTGTTATGTCAGTCACAGGGCTACCCCATACCGGAATTTAGGTGAGAAGTGATGGTTTTATAATAACTTCTTATATATTTTTTGATAGTGATTTTAATCACTGTCAGATATCATTATACTTGATCCATCTATGACACGTCCCCACTGTGCTGCGACCCCCCTGTGCTGGTTTTTTTTTATTTAAACTATCCATTACAAAAAATTACTTACCACTCATATTTCAACATTCAGGTATTACTTAGGTTAATAATTTTATTTTTGAGAATTATTTCATTTAAGTTTTCATAAAACTTCTAATGCAGATCCTGTAGGATTTAAACCTCCTTCACTTTCATCAGACTTTGAAGGAACTCGGGTGCGCAAAATTTCAAAAAATGATATTGCATTATTGTGTCAATCACAGGGGTTCCCAATTCCAGAGTTCAGGTGAGACAGTAGCTATAACTTAATAAAATGAAAAAAATAATTATAGAACCTGTTGGTATAAAGTCTCCTACATTTGAAACAAAATCTGAAACGTATAGATTTCGAATGAAATCAGACACTGACTTGAGTTTACAATGTGAAGCACAAGGTTTTCCTATCCCATTATTCAGGTTAGATATAATATAAAGATTTAATTTCTATAGAGCCCTTTGGTGCAAAAGCACCATCAGTACCACCAGAAAGTAGGCACAACTAGGTTGAAAAAAATGTACAGCAGAATATAAATCTTCTATGCTTAGCACAGAGCTTTCCGGTACCCCTTTTTCGGTGAGTTCAATGTTATGTTATACAAAACCAAAACATTAGGTCCATCATGATTTATTTTAGTATTTAAATTTTAGCATTGTGGAATAATCTAATTGCTTAAAATAAAATATGCGTAAGGTATTAAAGCATAAATTTATGTGTAGATACGATAAGTGCTAAAGCGCCTACCGCACCAGATGACAAAAGTAGATCAATAGTACGCAAATCTAATCAATATATAACATTGTTTTGTATAACCCAAGCTTTTCCTGTACCATCCTTCAGGTTTGTAAAAACTAATTGACCATGTCAAATCCTTTTTTGGGGACAGTTATTTTCTTAGGTTGAAAATTAGGTAAAAGTTTTTAAATAAAAGAAATAATTGTATTNTAGGTAAAAGTTTTTAAATAAAAGAAATAATTGTATTTTTATCGTAGTTTTTTTCCAAATCTCTGTTTTGCATCATATAACACACACATATATATATATACTTTCTTGGCGAATACTATTAAACTAATACTTTTTCAAAGCTTTAATAAGTTTTGACTTCGTAGTAAATTTAACATTTAATCTGTATAAAAGAATCGGTATTTTCGGCCATTTAAT